GCATTTGTGTTTATTCAACACCCACAGAGCCCACCTGTGGTTTATACTGCAACTATGCTGAGTAGACTTTAGTTGCAGTTTCTGGGAAAGAGACTGTTATCTAGTGTGATCAACAATTTGAACAAGGCTTGCACGCTCATGCCCTCGGCCACGATGACTTTTAACTTCAGCTATTGACGGCCCCCAAAGGTTCCGACTACCCAATTTCACTCACAAAGCTTGGGTCAACCCGTGGTATGGTTTTTCAGGCACTTACTAAATTTTTGTCACAAGCAAATATGCTGAGCGGCAATATAATTATAAGTCCTCTATGGCAGTAAATGTAGGACACTTTCTTCAAAGATGAAGAGGAAACATGAGACAATGATTACGTCAGGAAGTCTCATTCCTGAGAAATCGACCATGGTGAGATTCGAACCCGGGTCTCGTGGTCAGAATGCGAACGTTTTGACCACTCGGCCACGTGCCTATATTGAAAGTAATAGGGAGAGAGGAAAGAGCGAGTTACCTACCTTATAAACTTGTGCAAATAGTAAACAGATCCGTGAATGTGAAGGATAATAAAAAGAATATTGCTAAGAACTATAAAAGGTTGGAAGTTGTGGAGAGCTATCATCCGCTTAGAAGAAGTGATTCGGATTCGATGCAATTCAAAGATACTGATCACAAAAGGTGACTATTTTGGGAGAGCTGATGAGATATTTCAATGACATATGAAATCACAATAATATAAAGGATTGTTCAACTGTCGAACTCACTGCCTCGAGCAGAGAGGAACCCGGACGGAGCTTTTCTGAAGGGAAAAGTTTCGTCCAGGGAGGTAGACAGACCCTGAACCCTTTTATACGGGTTCAAAGGAATATTCTTGGCCGAGCCTACGGGTTCGGAGAACCCACGGTAAACTCGGGATTCCTGGAAACCCATGCCTTAACGAAATACAAAAAAAAAGTTTCTTCTAGTACAGCCCATACCTTACGAATGGCTTTAACTATGTAAAATAGGTGTTTGTTTTTAATTTTTATATAAATTTTTATTTATTTATTTTAGTTGGTCAGTAGAAATGTCATCATGCCATTTCTAACCTTAAGTCTCTAGGCGGAACCCGGAAAGAAATGTGTACACACTAGAAATCAAAGGAAATAATAAAATAATAATAATAATAATAATAATAATAATAATAATAATATTGGGTTGGTGCATAATTATCAGGCGTTTTGTAGGCGTTATTTGTTAATAAAAATGCTGTTTTGTTTACTTTTGATTAATAAAAATATTTTATTTTCAGGTTATAAAAATGCGTGTCGATAATCCTACGTTCCGGAATAATCATTTAAAAATGATTTATTGTTGAATGTTTCTTTTTTTCATTATAAATATGGTTTCAAAAACGCCTGGTAATTATGCACCAACCAATAATAATAATCACAAAACATTTATGATTTCGATCCCCAGTCCGACCACGGAATTTAAACAAGAAAATCTTACCTGATAATGGGGAATAAGTAAAGAAGATGTCAAATTGTGGACGTAGCTGTGCCAACGGAGTACACGAGAAACGGAAGAAAACTGAGAGTTACCAGGACCTCGCCCGGGAACTAAGCAATGACTAAAAAAAAGTAAGGTTATAATCGTGCCCATAATTGTAGGAGCACTTATAACCGTGTCAAAAGCAGTGGAATCGAGATTGCATTATTTAAGAAACTAAAAAAAGTTTAAAACCATAAACCATGCATAGACTGTCAAACTCTTTATTAAATTACATACATCTTGTTAGAAAAAACGAAAATATTGTGCAATCTGATAGTTTAACCACGGTGAATAGCGTAATTGTAAGACAGGCCTATCATCTGAGAAAGTAAGGTCACACTCCAGAAAACAGTGTTGAACACCGGTTCCTGTACGATCACTGAAGTTAAGCAACGTCGAGCCTAGTCAATACCTAGATGGACAACCGCTTGAGAATACAAGATGCTGTAAGCTTGGATATGCGGGTGGTGTAATGAATAATGGCTCGGAATTGATAATCAAAGGGCCGAGTTTAAATTCTATTTAGGTTCGTTATATTCACTTAAGAGCAAATATCTTTGGGAAAAACTGTTACTCCTCTTCTTCCCCCCTCCAGCTATGAGTTAATTAGAAAGACAAATCTTATCACTAAATCACTATTATCTCCCCTATCAAAAAATCTTAGAGTCTAAAAATATTTTCTGGCTTTAAATAACCTGCTTAATAAGCCGTAGAAAACGAATCGATCAATTGACCAACCAGTGAAAAATATCGACGGGAATCCTGGACTAATTGTCGGTAGACCTTCAAAGAAATTTACCTGAAATTATTAGTGTGAAAGATCACAGAAAATGATATAACTCAAGAACAATAAAATATGAAATACGCTTGTTGGTTACAATCAAATGTAACCAATTAATACAAGTGTGAAACGTCAATGACAATGAGATATACAGTTAATATGTGCGCTAGAGTATGAACGAGAATACGCTGCCATTTGATCGCTAGCGAAGACAACCAATAAAAACTGGTTTCAAAGCTTAAACGTCACTGAATATTAAGTTGATATGTGTGTCCGGTTATATGAAAGAAACTTGTTGGCATT